TGAGTTTTCTGCGATTTTCTCAGAGAAGCTATGCATCGTTCCCAGTCTCTTACGAAGAACTTCTGCAATAAAATTGTTCGCCTCGAGAACCACGGCCACAAAATAGAAAAATTTTCAAAACAGCTACATCACCCCTGCGACGTCTTCATAAACCATCGAGGAATTGATACCAAGATGAGAACCATTTCTGGGTTGCTCCACAACCATCTTTCACTACAAGTAATGAGGGAAAAACCAGCGTTTTTTTCACTAAAAGACAGCATTTTTAAACGTTGTATTAAAATGTTCCACCGTTTCTTAAAACACAGATGAGACACCGTCTATACCGCCATCGCGCTTTGTACCAAATAGCGTTTCAAGAGACGCTGAAATAGTGTACCCAAAGGTAGCCTTTTCAGGAAAGGCTGTGATAGGGTATCTTAAATGCTAACTTTTTCACCGCCAGGATTACTATGGTATATATGTGGGCAATGCCAGCGTTTTAAAACGCTGGAATTGATCCTTTTCTTTTTTATTTAATGTTGCTATTATAAAATTTTAATATTAATTATTTTATTTTGAACTATTGAACAAAACATTAAATAATAGGCAGAAGGTGCAACTCAGCCCCTCTACTTCCATTGTTGTGGTGTATCAGCCCCTCTACTTAACAAAACCCGCGAATCAGCCCTCCTACTGAATAGCATCATCAAATGTCATCTTTCCGTCTACATCCTTGTTACTTCGTTACCAAGGAATGGCATGGTGCTGATATGGCATCGGTTGGGTGATGTGGCCAATTTAAATTATAATATTATTAAAGAAAATAATTTAAAAATAATTTTTTTATACCATCATTTTATATAACTTTGTGTATCATTAAAATAATTAGTTCTTTTTATTTAGTTGGGATCCATAATATTGAATGCATCCACTTATTTAATAATATATGAAAATTGTATTACAAATAATATAAAAAAATTATACCTATGTTACTGCCTAATTATTAAAGAGTTCTCATCCTCTTCCTTTTCTTCTATCCATCTTCTCTTTCCTCGTTTACCTTCTCTCTCTTCCTACCGTAAATCTATTTATTTAAAAGTTTGAGTTGAATTTTTTTTAGATAAATCTAAATCTAAAAAATTATTAAAAAACTATCAAAATATAAAAATATAAAAATTAAGAAAAAGTTTGAAATCAAAATCAAAACTTATGGCTTTACTAGCACCAAGTGATCTATTCATTGAGTCTCCATCTCTAATAACCAAAAATCCACCTAACTTTATTTTAAATAAAAGTACATGTAATATTTATTTCTTTTAAAAAATATATCAAAAATAGATTCATATTTTTTTTAATAAAAATACAAACTAAAGAAAAAAATATGGATTCATATGTGCCCCTTTACTGTTAAAACACCATCCTAATACAAATTAAAAACCTTTTGCAGTAAAGGGGGTACATATGAATCCATAATTTTTTTAATTTTTTCAGTTTGTGTTTTTATTAAAAAATATTTAAATCTATCTTGAGATTTTTTTAAAGAAATAAATGTTACATTTTTTTATTTAAAATAAAGTCGGGTGGATTTTGAGTTACTATAGATGAAAATTTAATGAGCAAATCACTTGGTACAAGCAAAGTTACAAGTTTTGATTTTAATTTCAAGTTTTTTCTTCATTTTTTTATTTTCATATTTTGAGAATTTTTTTGATAAGTTTGAGTTTAAATTTATTTAAAGAAAAATTCAACTTAAACTAAAAAAGAAAAAAAAAAAAAAGGAGATCTGCAGTACAAAGAGAGAGAATGTAAAGAGGAGAGAAAAGATAAATAGAAAAAAATGAAAAAAAGGAGGGCTCTTTAATAATTTTGTAGTTTAAATCAACCACATCACCTACCCCAATGCCATATAAGCACCAAGCCATTCTTTGGTAACGGAGTAACAAGGATGTAAACAGAAAGATGACATTTGATGATGTCATCATCAGCACAAGGATTGATTCACGGGTAAACTTGGTAAAATTGGATTTAATCTAAAAATTCAACTCAACTCATCCGTTATGGGTAGGGTCATGGGTCCTATTTGTTAATTTGAAATCTGAAATGACTGGAACTGAAATTATCCAAACTCAAATAGGTTAGGTCACGGATGGGCCAAGTCACTGAAAATGACTCGAACTTTTTTTTTATTTATTTTTTATTAGATTACTTAAAAATTAATTTTAAATTTCTAATTTTCTAATCCTAAAAGTAAAAATAAAAAAAATACTCAAACCCTAATCTCTCATCAATTTCACTTTTTCTCAACTTTTCCTCTTCTCCACTCTTGCTCTCCCCTTCTTCATCCAAAGCTCTCTAATCATTTTCTTTGGTGGCACTCGTGTAAAAAATTAAATTAAATGGAACATAACTAGTTATATTATATGATATCGTAAAAAAGATCATTTTAAAAAAATAGAAAGTAAGAATGCCTATTGAAAATCAAAACCCAGTGATTAAGGTACTCTCATAACCATTACAAGTACAAAGACAAGAACATCAAAGTTCGTTCTTAGTTGTTAATTTGTTCTTAATTAATAATTTGTTCCTAATTAATAAAAATCAATTCCGATTCAATTTCTTCTCATATTTGGTTCGATATATTTTGGATTTGCCTTTTAAACTTTAATATTAAATAAGACTGTATTTTTTTGTATAATACTCTCTTAAATATTGAATAGAATTGTATTTTTTGTATAATACTTTTATAAATATTGAATAGGCACTAGATATTAATATATATATATATATATATATTGGATTTGTCTTTTGAACTCTAATCTTTTATGTCTCTTCTTTTAATAAAGATTAATACCTTTATGAAATTATGAATTCTAAATATTATATAAATATTATATATTTGACATATATTTTAATTTCACCTATATAATCATTAATCTTTTCCTTTTTCTTTTCTTGAGATTGGAAAACAAATTGAATTATGAAATGGAAATTAACGTTTAATAAGTTTTCTAACTAAATAGTTAATTAGTAATAAAGTTTGTTTAACTAAATAGCTAATTAGTGTTAGATTTTGTTAAAGAAAAATATAGAAAAATTTTAATTTTAATTTTAATTTTTTAAAAGTTGGGTATGCCCGACTCAATCCGAGACCTGTGTGGATGGATCATGAGTCAACTTCCTTAACTTGACACCTAAAATAATTCAATCCGAACAACTTGAGATCCGAGATGACCCAATCTGACCTGTTTGCTAGGTCTATTCACAGGTTTTGTTAAGTAGAGAGGCTGATTTGCATTACTTTTAAGTAGAGGGGCTGAATTGCACCCTCTGCCTAAATAATATACTAAAAATTTGTAAGTGAATAAAATCGACATTACCATTTAAAACAAAATGTATTGAAAATAAAAACAATTGTACTATATACAAAAACTATATAATATTCAAAACTTAGTAATTTGATAAACATTAACTCATTACTAGTAATATATTTTCTAAATGAGAAAATTAAACTGCTAAACTAAAGCATTTTTTGAAGCTTCAATTCTGCTAGAGCCTTCTATGCCTCCATGTTGCCCTGCCCTCCATTTCCCTACCACACAATCAAATTAGGAAACAAATCAAAGAAATCTTTATCGCTATTAATTTTATAGGAATGTGCTCGTGCGAATAATCCTTACTTGGTAGCATTGATGCAATCATACAGAAGTCAACTTTAAGGTTGCTTTCTCACTAACCTTTTCATCGCATCAATTCTGCTCATCTTCATAAGAATCCATTGCTTGGTAGAAATTATTGAAAGCAGCCACTGCACTATAGGCAGATTTGGCTCCACATCCAGCTAACAATTCATCCAAACAAACTGAATAAAACATGATCCTTGTAAAAAACTAGAAATAAGAAGAATCAATGATTATAGAGCCACCAAGCTACTGCCAATGGCACAAAAACCAAAAATGGAAAAGCTTTTTGAAACACATTAAGGGCATATTTATTCATGTAAAGAGAACAATCAGCAAAGCATCCAAATGTTAATTGTTAATGAAAATGCATCCAAATGTTAATTGTTTATGAGAATGCATCCAACCATAAAAGTTTTTTTGATAGTTATATCAAAAATATTAAATCTCACCTTCATAAGGGATTGTTGCTTGTGGGTTTCAAGATAAGCATATCCATATATTGAAGCATAACTATTGCTCTAGAAAAAACAGAATTATGAGCAGAGCTTAATAAAATGGAGATGCCCAAGATAGTGAAGTCATAGTATGTTGGAAAAACAGGAACCGTAGTGCAAAAGAAACAAGCAGGGATGATGGGTATTTCAGAATCTAAAAGGATAAAAAGACCAAGAATCTCGTATACCCAATTTCCTTGATCTTTTTCTAGAAAGACAAAGAAGAAAAAATTCTAATGTTCACCATAATTAACTTGCTCGATAGGCTCCTCGGAAAAGGTTTGAGCAGAAAAGCTGAGTCTTTTCTTTGGAAAGGATAAATCACCTTTGACCAATTTTTTACTTCTAGATGGATACCATTTGCAAAATAAAAATCACAAGTCAAGCTGTAGTCAGGACATGAATGAATGGCTAACAAACCATCGAATGAAATTGAAACCAATCAATAATCACAAATCCAAAACCCAAATTCTTGCAGCCAACCTACCCCTACCAAAAGACAAAACAAGTCATGATCAAGAAGGCAACAACTCACTACCACAAGCAATCACTATAGTCCCAAATCCCAAGTAAACAAAACACTTACAAAAACCAACTCAGCAGGTGATCTCGAACCAAAAAAAAGAAACCTGTCCCTCAAAAAACTTTGGTTTTGTCAATGACTTCATAACCTCTTGTAGAATTATTATTCTGCAATGAAGTTTTCTCGCTAATGGTGGAGTGAGCATCTCTAGTAAATCGAGGTGTCACATCTCTAGTTTCAAAAAAATGCCAGGTAAAAATTTGCATTTGCTTCTATTATATACTTTCTTACAACTAATTACTATTGAATAAAAATTTTAAACTAAACAATGAATTCATCAACTAATTACTGAGCTTTTTTCTTAATTTCTAACTAGATTTTGAGCTCATGCATTAATCGTGCATTATCCGTACAGTTGTGGAAATGAAGGTGAATCAGTGATGCTGCAATTTTACGATTAGCTGCAATAGCAGATCTAATGATAGTTCAAGTAGTGTTGAGTGCATTTGGACAAGTGTTTGCATACAATGTAGAAGAAAGCTATGCTTGGTATGTTATGCTCTAAAGTAGCATCATCATCATCGACACCATTGCAGCAGCTTTGATATTCATTGCAGTTGCCATTTTCTTTGGTTGATTTTTTTCTTGCAAAATGAAAACTCAAGCAGAAGAAATTAGTAAGAAATGAAGATGGTTCGAGAACATGGAGTGGGCTTTGTACAATTTATAGTGCAGTGGATGGCTGGGTGAAAGATGATGTGAACCCATTACCCACTATTATCCAGGCATCGAAATTAAATATGATTGATAGCTGTAGATTCCTTTTTCGTAGTGATATCTGCTGTTTTCTTTTCCTTAAACTGAGTTTTATGATTAATTGCTGTAAATTCCTTTTTCTAATTGATATCTTTTGTTCCTTATTTAGTTCATAGGTAGACTTTGTTGCTTGTTTTGTAAGAGTTTGGCCTTCAGAGATTTGCCTTTCTTAACTATGAACATTGTATAAAATGCTACAAATTCCCTTTTTCTTTTGCTGATAACTTCTGTTCCTTATTTAGTTCATAGGTAGACTTTGTTGCTCGTTTGATTCATTCTTTATAGTGGTTGGTAAGAGTTTGGCCTTCGGAGATTTGCGTTTCTTAAATATGAACACTGTATAAAATGTTGCAATTTTTTTTTTTTTTTACTGATATCTTTTGTTCCTTATTTATTAGTTCATAGGTAGACTTTGTTGCTTGTTTTGATTCACTCTTCATAATGGTGGCCAGAGTTTGCCTTTTGGAGATTTGCCCTTCATAGGGCAACTACGTTCACGAGTACTTTCGAATCCTGGATCAATATTACTAGCATTGTTGTATGCCATGTCCCTAAGTGTGAGACACCGAGCCTGTCCTATTATATGAGTACCTAACAAAGCAACCATGTCCCTAGCACTCAAGCCTTTGCTTCCAAAGAGGGCAATGACAATGAGGCTACCAAGATCGTTTGTGGAACGAGGGAGGTCTCTCTCAGTCTCAACTAGGCTTGGGCTTGCAATAGTAGAATCCTTTCTTCCAAGCTTAACTGTCCATGTTGGACTACCTACTTGATATGTTTGAGGAGGAAATTTTATTAGATTTCTTTACAATCCTCATAAAAAGATGTATAATAGGAGTGAATTGTATGTATACTCATTCAGATGCATCTCTTGCTATAACTGTGAGTATATCTGCATACGATACGACTCTAGGACACACATTCTTTATCTCAGCTTTAGCTTTGTCAATGACTTCATAACCTCTTGTAGAATTATTGTTTTGTAATGCAGTTTTCTCCCTAACGATGGAGGGAGCATCTCTAGTAATTAAATTGAGACATCACATCCTTAGACTCAAAAAAATGATAGGTAAAAATTTGCTTATATGATATACTTTCTTATGTATAACTAATTACTATTGAATAAAAGTTCAACCGCAAAAAATGCATTAGTCAACTAATTACTAGGCTTTTTTGCTTAATTTCAAACTAGATTTTAAGCTTGTGTGTTAAACATGCATTGCCCATGTGTTTCTCTCTTCTTGCAAGTGAAGCCTTGAGTGCTAGGGACATGGTTGCTTTGTTAGGTTGTTATACAATAGGATAGGGTCGGTGTCTCTCATTTAGGGATAGGACATACAACAATGCCATTGACATTGACTTAGGATTCTCTATCACTTGTAGACGTTTTGTAAAAGCCTCCTCCATTTTGATTTGGTGCTTTTCAGTGGTGGATCCACGGATGATATAGCCTCAGAATATAACAGAAGCCAACAAACTTTCAAGTCTGATTTTGCAGCCGTCATGATCAATGTGGGAGATATCAATCCTCTGAATGGTTCAAATGGGATCATAAGTAGGGTTTGCATTACGATGGTCTTGCTCCTACACCTCCATTTTATAACAGTAGTTAAGAGCTATTGTGAGAGTAATAGGATGGCTTGCATTACTATGTAACAAATTGTAGCTGGTGAATCCCGAGTTCACTCAATTTTACATGATTTTGCGATTTCATTATAATTTTAATTAATCAAGTTTATGGGAATTCAATTTTGAATATGAGTAAACCAGTTTTCCATAAAACTGTTTAATTCTACTCATTCAAATGTGGTTTTGACAATTATGCCAAAAATTACTTTCAAGGTGGAGTTACACAAACATGTCTTAAAAGAGTAAAAAATTTGATTTTAATAAATAATAAATTTAATATAAAATTAATGTACAATCTCAATATCTTATAACCATTTAATGAGAACAAGTCTCTTGATATTGAGATAGTTTACGTATTTTCATCAATAATTATAAATATAAAGAACAAATATCTCTAAATAGAAGATTTGGAAAAAGGACTTGTACTTCATACACGTAGTGAGATATATATTTTAAGTTAGAAATCAATGTGTTTATTTGGCAAGAGAAAAAAAAAATTTTTTTGTTTTTCCGATTTTCTTTTTCTTTTCTTAAAAGGAGTTTTCTTTTCATTTTCATTATAAAATGAAAATTTTTAAAAACATAATTAGTAAATAAAAATACTATTTTTTATATAATTTTCACATATAATTTTAAAAAATATAATATTATAAATTTTATTAAAATAAAAAGGTATAATTATTAAGTGACATAATTTTTTAATAAAAAATTTCATGAATATAACTAACAATAAATTACAAGACTGATAGTATAAAAATAAAACATAAGACACCGTCACCTATCCCCTTCAATACTTGCCAAGATTTCCATCATTAATTTATATACCATAATATGTAGTTTAAGGCCCACGTTACCATAGGCACTACCTAAGGACTATTATTATTATTATTTTTTTTTTTTTGATAATTGGATGCACAACGAGTGTCAACTCATTCCAATCTTTTATAACTTATTTCACCTTATTTATATGTCATGTGACTCGAATTCAATATCTTTTGTTTTTAGTAGAAAGAGATTACTATTAAATTATTTAAGTTGTTAATACTTAAAGACTATTATTTCATAAGTTTATAACCAAAATTAGCAATTTAAATTAGCACTAAAACCTCGAATCACTCTATGCCGACTACGGCCTGGGGCTGGCTTTTCGGCCCTAATGGTTTTTGGAAAAAGGGTTAAAATAGAACAGTAGGCGAAGAGACATAGTCTCAAGCCCAAGTCCAACAAGCTCGTTAAAAAATAGCCCATCAATTCTTGTACCCACTTCGATTTTTAGAGTAAATAATAAATATATTTTCGCCTTTGACATATTTCCCCTTACTTAACCCCATCACTTCCCTTACTTATTGGGCCGCATGTAAACCAGGACAATGCAAACAAAATAAATAGATAAAAATTTATGTAAACATAATATGGAAATAGTTCCTATCAGCTTTACTTTCTAAAGATTAAAAGGAAATTATCTCAAAATTATATCGTTTTAATAAATTTTTATTAAAAAAAATTAAACTATTATATTTTTAAAATATGCATTAAGGTGATTTTTGTTATTTTTCCTTTTTAGAGATAACAGAACAAGCACTCATCCCATATAATATATAAGATTTATATATAAATGAGAAGCTTTGAGTATAATAACTGGTTACTCCTCACATGACACTTCTCATTGAATTCGAGTTCAAGTCCTTCCTATCTCCCCATCCCCTCACAGTGTATCTCTGTTAAAAAAAAAGAAAAAGAAAAAGATTTATACGTAAATATATTTTTTTATTATTTAATAAAGACTAAAGTCATATTTCACCCAGAGCTTATTTTCTGACATCCTATTGGATAAATGAGATTTAAATTTGTAGATGATAATATATATCAATTCAATTCTTAAGAAAAAAAATAAAGACTTTAAAAAAAAATAAAGTTAGATGTCATTTTATTTAATTAAAATTTAATTCAAATTTTAAAAATTTATTTTACTAAATGTTGATATTTAATTTAGAAATTAATTATATATTTTAATATATAATTTAATATATATTCTAATATAATTAGTTTCATTTAATATAATTATATATGCTAATATAATTGTTTCATTTAATTCTATATTCTAATATAATTAGTTTTTTTTATCAACATTTAATATAAATTTAATACGGTAAATTTTAAATTTTAAATTAAATTTTTTTATTTTTAAATGTAAGTATCAATATTTAATAGAATAGTTTTTTAAATTTTAAATTA